CACTTTAAACATAAGACACAGGGCCGGCCCGTGGCTCACTCGGTAGAGTGCGGTGCTAATAACACCAAGGCCACGGGTTCGGATCCCATATAGGGATGGCCGGTTAGCTCACTGGGTGAGCGTGGTGCTGACAACACCAAGTCAAGGGTTAAGATCCCCTTACCGGTCATCTTTTTAAAAAAAAAAAAAAAAAAAAAACATAAGACACAAACAGGCTGAAGGTAAAAGAACGGTAAATGACATATCATACAAACACTAAGTATAAGAAAGAGGTGTCGTTATATTAACATCAAAGTGGACTTCAAGAAGAAGTGTACTAAGAGAAAGAGAAAGAGAAATTTATAATGACAAAAGGTTCAAATACATGAAAACATAACAATCTTAAATATATAAGGTCCTGGGACCTAATAAAAAGAATCCCAAATAGGGCCGGCCCGGTGGCGCACTGGATGGTGCGCCGCTTGGGAAGCGTGGCGGCGCTCCCGTCCGAGGGTTCAGATCCCACATACAGACCAGCGCCCGCTCACTGGCTGAGCGAGGCACGGGAGCAACACCGAGGCTTGCGATCCCGTTGCCGGTCCCCGGTCCGGTACGGGGGCAACACTGAGGATTGCGATCCGTTGCCGGACACGGAAAAAAAGACAAAAGACAAAAAAAAAAAAAAAAAAAGAATCCCAAATAAATGAAACAAAAATTAACAAAACTAAAGAGAAAAACAGACAATTACACAATCATGGTTAGAGACTTAATTCCCTTTTCTCAGAAAATGATAAAACAGATATGCAAAAAATCTGTCAGGATACAGAAGATTTGAACAATACTATCAACTTGACCTAACAGACATTTAAAGAACACTGTACTCAACAGTAGCAGAATATACATTCTTTAAGTGCATGGGGAACATTCACCAAGATGAACCATGTGCTGGGCCACAAAATGAGTTTTGATAAATTTTAAAGGAATGAAATCATACCAAGCACATTTGCTGACAACAACAGAATCAAATTAGAAATCAATAATGGGGCCAGCCCCATGGCTCACTTGGGAGAGTGCTGCAGTGGTAGTGCTGAGGCCATGGCTTCGGATCCTATATGGGGATGGCCGGTGCACTCACTGGCTGAGCATGGTGCGGACCACACCGTGCCAGGGGTTGCGATCCCTTACCGGTCCCCCCCCAAAAAAAGAAATCAATAATGGAAAGACATCTTAATACTTTCCAGTATTTTGAAATTAAACATTGTTCTTAGTAACCCACAGGTCAGAGAAGATTATCACAGAAGAAATTTTAAAATATTTTGAACTGAATGATAATGAAAACACATATATCAAAATTTGTGGAATGCAGCTAAAGCAGTACTTCCAACTTAGACAAAAACATATAGCTTTAAGTAGCTATGTAAGAAAAGGAGACAAGTATAAAATCAATGATGTAAGTTGTTTCTACATGAATACCTTAAAAAAGAAAAGCAAATTACACCCAGAGTAAGTAGAAAAAAGGATATAATAAAATTGAAAGCAGAAATCAACTGAACTGAAATGGACAAACAATACAGGAAATCAACAAAGTAAAAGTTGGTTCCTGGCAAAGATTAATAAAATTGATAACCTCTAGCAAGACTGATCAAGAGAAAAATAGATAAAAAAAACAAAAGTTACCAACATAAAAAATGAAAGGGAAAACATGATCACATATTCTACAGACAATAAAAGGATAACAAGGATATATTATGAACAAAATCATGACAACAAATTAGACATTTTAAATGAAATGGACATAATCCTTGAAAAATATAACTCACCCACACTGACAAAACTGAAAACAGGAAATTTTAATAGCTCTACATCCTTTAGGGAAACTAAATTCATAACCACAAAATTTCCCACAAAGAAAACTCCAGACTCAGGTGAATTCTGTTAAACATTTAAGGAAAAAAAAAAAAATAGCAATTTTACACAAACTCTTTCAGAAAAGAGCAAAAATGGGTCACAACTTATTTTATGAGGCCAGCATAACTGTGATAACTAAATTTAGAAATGAACATTACGAGAAAAGAAAATTACTGATCGATATATTCATAGCATGAACCTAGACATAACAATCTTTAAAAAAAATAATAGCAACTAGAATCCCTCAACAGATAAAAAGCACAATAGTTCAAGAACAAGTGAAGTTTATCTATCCTAGGAATGCAGTGTAGGCTTACCATGAGGAAAATCTATGCAATTCACCACATAAACAGATTAAAGAAGGAAAATCAATAAATGCAAAATTCAACAAATGCAAAAAAAGCATCTTACAAATTTCAATATTCATTTATCATAAAAACTCTTAGTAGAGTAGTAATAGACAGAATTTCCCCCTATAAAAATATACAGCTAACAATATAGTTAATGGAAAAATACTGAAGGTTTTCCCCCTAAAATCAAAAACAAGGCAAGGATATTTGCTCTTACCACTTCAACTGAGCACTATAATAGAATCACCTAACTAATGCATTAAGGCAAGAGAATAAAATAAAAGGCATACAGATTGGAAAGACAGAATTAAAGCTCTATTTACAAATGATATAATTGTGTTGGAAGAAAATTCTAAGAAATCTACAAAACAGCTATGAGAATTAAAAAGCAAATTTACCAAGATTACGGGATGCAAGACCAGGATATACAAGTAAGCTATAATTCTATACACCATCAGTCAACAACTAGAAAATAATATTTTTAAAAAACCATTTACAATAGAACCAAAAACATCACTAGAAATAAATCCAAAGAAAGATGTATAAAATTTCTACACTGAAAATTATAAAATATTACTGACAGAAATTAAAGATGGTTTAAGTAAATGGAAAGATATAATATATTCATGGATTTGAGGACTCAATATAAGAATGTCCATTCTGCCAAAATGGGTATATATTAATGCAATCCCAATTAAAACTCAAGCAGGATTTCCCATCCTCAACACTGTTACAGTGGGAATTAAGTTTCCAACACATGAACTTTTGGGGGACACATTTGTTCCATATCAGTGAAGCTGGTGATTTTGACACCCAAGGGACAGTTTTAGTTGTTACTGGCATCTAGGACATTTCTACACATCTTACAATGCACAGGATAGCCACATAACAAAGAATTATCCTACCTACCAGAAATGTCAATGGTGGCATAATTGAGAAATCCTAATAGCTAAAATGAAATAGACTAATAGCATCAAATGCTGGCAAAGGTGGAGAGCAACTGGAACTCTCTGATACATTGCTAGTTTGTATGTAAAATGGTTCATCCACTTTGGTGTTTGACTGATGCTATCATATTAAGTACAGACAGCTTCTCATTGCCCAATTAAAGGCCAACATGGCCTGCAAGGCCTTGCATGATCTAGACCCAGCCTACTTCTCCAGCCTCATTTCCTAATTAACTGAGGTACAAGAATGATTTAATAGTAAGAAAATTTTCATAAACCCTTTTTGATTTTACTGACAGAAATCTTAAAAATTGTGAGACAAAAGATACCTTAAGGTCATTTAGTCCAATTTATTACCTAAGGCAGGAATATTAGTATGTCCATTCCTGAGTGTGAAACATCTAATATCTCCCACAATGAACACTAATAGTTTTGGCAAACTATCATAGACGTATTTGGTATAAACTAGAGAAACAACTAATGCTATATAAATAAGGTTCTTTATTCTTTTTGTAAACTGAGTTAACTGGAGACCATTACAGAGTTATTAACATTGGCTTAAGAAATATCACAATATAGATTGGAAAAGTGAATATAACAGTTCGGAAAGATACTATATATTTATAAATATCACAATTCATTTCAGAAAATGATGGAGTCAGCTGATAAAGTGAGTAAATGGCCTAAATCAGCACTATCAAATAGAAATATAATGTGAGCTACAAATGTGGGCCACATGCAATATTAAAAAAAGTAAAAAGATGCATGCTATGGATTGAATGTCCACACAAAACTCAATGAAGCTTGATCCTCAGTATAACAGTGTTCAAAGGGTGGGAAATCAGACTATGGTATTTGAAAGGTGGGGCCTTTGGGAGGTAACTGGATTGGAAGGACTCTGCTCTCATGAATAGATTAATCCATTCATGGATTAATGGATAGGTGGTTTAATGAGTTATCAGAGAGTAGACAGAGGGCTTTATAAGGAGAGGAAAAAAGCATGTCGAAATGCTCTCTTGCTCAGCCTTCACTATGTGATACTTTGCATTGCCATGGGTCTCTATACAGAGCCCCCACCAAGAAGGCCCGCACCAGATGTGCCCTTCAACCTTGGACTTCCCAGCTTCCAAAATTGTAAGAAATAAATTTCATTTTCTTATAAATTACCCAGTTTCAGGTATTCTGTTATAAGCAACAGAAAACGGACTAATGCAAAGCAGGTGAAACTAATTTTGATAATACATGAAATATATGCACATATATTATGTATATAATATGCAAAATAGCTGGTATATCCAAAATATTATCATTTCAACATGAAATCAATATAAAAAATTTAGATTATTTTCCATTTTGGGGGGTACTAAGTCTTCAAAATCCAATGTGTATTTTACCCTTACAGCACATCTCAATTTGGACTAGCCACATTGTAAGTGCTCAGTAGTCACGTATGGCTAAATGGCTACTGGATGCTAATACTGTTTATTATGTAACAACACTTTTAAGCACTTTACATGGATTATTTCATTGAATCCATCCTCAGGCACACACAAGGGAAAGTAATTTGTTCTTCTCACAGATACTGGTACAATCTGGATTCTAACTCAATCAGCCTGACTCAGATTTTCTGCTCCTAATCATCATACTGTCCTACCTCAGATCAATTTTTTTTGCAATGTTACTGAAACTTTCAATTAAATCAAATTACTATCTTGATTCCTGCCATTCATATCAAATAGTTTTTGAAAATCTAGAATTCTGGTTACATTTAAAAACTGACTTCTCCCCCATGATTTAAAATCTGAAAAAGACTTACCATTAACAGGAGTTTTTGATACTTTTGTTTTAGGTCTGACATATTTGCAGATGGGTCTGCCCCCAGAACGCTGTACCAATCTTTTTTCAGTGTCTGCTCAAATGCCATCATCCATTGAACAAGGGTGGGACTTTTCAGATCAGCTGAATAGAAATATTAACAACTCGTTATAGTTTGCATGTATCTAAGAAATAATCAAGTACTGCTTTTCTAAGTTCTTTAATGTTTAGTTGAGCAAATAATGATTACAATGCAAACCTGAGAAACCATATATTTTCACTTAAAACACCTCAAGAATTTCATGTATAAGTATACAAATAAGTATAAAAAACCTGCTAGATATTTCGATATATGCTTATATCTCAAATTAAAGAATACACAACAGCATAATAATAGAATCTGATAATGAACACGGGAGGTGGACGAGCCTCTAAGAAAGTATTTTTACTAGACTTATAGTAAAACTGTCACACAAGTCAGCACTCACTCAACGCACTAGTGGGGCTTAATAAATATTTATAAAACGAAGGAATAAAAAAATAATAATAAAGCAACTCAGAACACCAAAGAACTAACATGAATTTAGGGGCATTCCCTCTGACTTTTTCCGGCTCACTTTTCTTTCAGGTTATTTGAAAGGATAATATGCGAAATAACGTCAGCAAGGGCAGAGAGAAACCAAAAGCCCCCCCTGTTATTAGAGAAGCGCTCAGACCTCGCCAAGAAGGAGCTCCCGAAACTGTCCATTCACGAACGCCCCAGCTCTCCAGGCTACAGAGGAAACCCCACCACCCACCTCAGAAACCAGGCAGCCTCTTCGCACAGCTACACACTCGAGACAGCCGGAGCCTCCTAGAGATGGGGACTGGGAATCCGCTGTATTTACAGTCGGCTGCACCCACCCAGCCACTCGCGGGTGCCTTCTCTGAGATTCATGTGATATCAGACTTACCAAACTTCACAGCCGCCAGCGCCCACTCCTTGCCTGCAGTTGGTCAGAACTCGGAACCAGCTTCTCCTTCCGCCGGAAGTCACTGCTCTGACTTGCACACGTTTCTAGTCGAGCCGAAGTGGCCGAGGCACCGAGACCAAGCGCTGCCCCGCTTACCGCGACGCGGTCGCTATGGTAACCAGTCACCGCTTCCATGGAGCTTACTAGCAGTAAGTGCCGGAGCTGTGGAGAAAGGCGTCCCTCGCTTCTCTTCTAACTCTCCCGTGTCAGGCTCCGCGACTGTCGCTTCTCTCCCCCACCTCAGCAAACACCCTCCCCGCACCCGCCATCCCCTGCTTTCCCCGCCTTCCTCAAAGTTTCCTCCGCGTACCCTACCCTGAGCTACTCCCAATCCTTTTGGTTGGTGCTTGTACTGTGGGTGGGGGGAGGGGAGAGTATGGGAAGGATGAGCTCTGACCCCACCCTCGTCCCTGTACTTTCCTTAGAATGTTGTCATTCCAAAATTAAGAGAACTGAAACTTATGGCAAGTAGCTTTTTTTTTTTTTTTTTTTTTTGAGGGAGGATTCAGTTTAATATTTTTTTCTGCAAAAGATGTTCAGACTAATTTATTTTAGATATTAGCAACTGAATTAAATTTTTTTTTTTAATTTCAAAATTCTTTAGTATTTGCTATCTACCTTCGCTTTCACTCCCATCCAGTGAGACAAGTAAGGCAGGTATTATTCTCACTTTGTGGTGAGGAAACAAACCAAAGCTCAAGGCCAGGACTCCTAAGAAGTCTGCATATTTCCTGGGCAGCTATACTATCTTTCAAGCTTACAGGAAAAACAGAATGAACTTTGAAGCTGTGAGGGGGCACTCCAAATGGGCATTTTGGAGTTTTTGTTGTTGTTGTTGTTGTTGTTACTTTTTCTTTCTTGTCTCTCTCTTCCTTCCTTTCCTTTGTTCCCTTTTATTACCTCTTCTCCGGGCTATTTACTTCACACTGACTTCCATTTCTTGCATTGTACCTGGAGGTGAAAACTATGTCTTATTTTTTGGCTGCATAACATAAACTTAACTTGGAGATGTTAAAGTGGTTTTGTTGTTACTGCTTAGATTTGCTTTCTTTCTTTATCTTTTACCAGATCTCAGTTTGAGAAGTAGTCAAGATAAACTTAAGCAGGATAAATATTCTAATATGGTCAATTATTTAATGATAATATGAACTATAAAGAAAAACTGAGTGAATCAAGCAAGTTAAAAAATCTGAAGACAAAAGTGTAGATTAAGTTCTCCATAGGGTTTTTTCATGACTAAAGGCAGACACTAAGAGCATGATACTAATAAAGAATCTGGTTTTAGTCATAGCTCTAGCATACCTTCTGTGTGGCCCTTTGGAAAACCTAAAGCAACAAAATTAAGTGTTGTTGTAAATAACTTTTTACACAGTGCTGTCAGAATGATGCCCTCTTGAACTGCTCTAGCCCTCAAACTTCTTCCTTTCCACAGCTTGGTCCTTCCTTGTACAGATAGATATCCTCAGGTACTCCAGTTTGTACATAAAACCACTTTATTTTGATTTACTATTCCATTGGGTTATCATGTTATCTCTTTTATTACTTTTATTTATTTATTTGGACTTGGAAAGTAAGAAATACACTTTATTTTTCCAGCAAATCTCAGATGTTTTGTCATTTTATCTCTACATACTTTAGTTTGCATCCCTAAAGCATACCAACTTTTTTTTATCTCTATGATGTCATTATTCACCTGATATTATCAATAATTCATTGATTCATCCAATATCTAGACCTTATTTGCATTTCCCCAGTTTCAAAAATGTCTTTTTATGTTTGGTTTGCATGAATCAAACCCAAACAAAGTTTATACCCGGCATTTGGTTGTTCTGTCTCTTAAATATCTTTTAAACTACAACAGTTCCACTTCTTCAGTACTATCTTGTCTCTTTTTCTTTTCTTGCAATTGGCTTATTGGAAAGCCAGATCAATTGTTTCACAATCTAAATCTAGCTGTTTGTCTATTTACACCAGAATAAACTTCTTAGAATAATCCCTGCTCATTGATCTTTTCCTCATTTTTTGTTTTCTAGGGTAGTACTGTCCAGTAGAAATATAATGTAGGCCACATATGTGATTTTAAATTTTACATTAGCCACATTAGAAACATAAAAAGAAGCAGATGACATTAAGTTTAATAATATATTTAACCAATATATCCAAATATTATTTCAAAATTTTATCAGTATAAAAATTGTTAATGAAATATTTTTTTTTTTTTTTTTTTTTTTTAAAAAGATGACCGGTAAGGGGATCTTAACCCTTGACTTGGTGTTGTCAGCACCACGCTCAGCCAGTGAGCGAACCGGCCATCCCTATATGGGATCCGAACCCGGGGCCTCGGTGTTATCAGCACCACACTCTCCCGAGTGAGCCACGGGCCGGCCCGTTAATGAAATATTTTACATTTTTTTTCCTACTAAGTCTTCAAAAACTGGTATGTATTTTGCTTACATAGCACATCTCAATTTCAACTAGCCACATTTCAAATGTTCAATAGCCACATGGCTAGTGATGAGATCAAAATGGTGATATAAAATATATATGGTCTTCCTTCACTTATCCCTGCAATCAACAAATATTCGATTGTCTACTATGTACCCCACATTCTATTAGTTACAAGAGACCCAAGACAGGTTGTCTGTAGCCCTCTCAAAAGCTTAGAGTTTTTTTTTTTTGGATAGACAGACATTTAAATAAGTAACTGAAGTAACTGTAGGAAGTGCTATGTCGGGGGAAATACCGGGTGGTGTGACATTAATAACTTGTAGGCACACCAATACAATAGATTACTTGAATGATTGAAATATTTGAATCAAGATAGTCCAGGAAGTGTTAAGTCTTAAATAATGCTTTGAAGGAATGGAGAGATAAATGTCTAGAATTGGGGAAACTTCCTTTTTTTGGCAGATTATAAATATTCAAATCCTTTTCAGAATTTAATGAATAATCCTACCTCATGTTTTAGAAATGGTTTTCAGTTTTAAATTTTTTCTCTCTATTAGTTGTCTTATCTTGGTCTATTCTCTCCTTTATTTCAGCAGCAGTCATCATCAAAAAACATTCACTGAGTTTGTACAAGGCAATGCACTAAGCAGGAGAGAGACAAAGAGGTAAATACTTTTTACCAGCACCACACCTGTTGCTGTGCTTTTTTGTTTTTTGTTTTTATTTAACTTTAGTTGTGTCGGAGTTCTTTCAAACTTGCTTCAGACCTCATGAAGGTCTTTATCGTATCTAGGATTTTTATTCCTCTTTTCCTATCTTCTTCACGTCTGATGTTTTAATCATTCCATGACCTATTAAAGATACTATACTTAATCCATTGTCTTATCTCTTTAGAAATTAAATACCAACTTATTTTCTCCATTCCCTTCTTTACCCTTTTCTCTTTGTTCTTATGACCACTCTGGCTTTTCTGTGCACTTTCCAATTACCCTGAAATTTATGGTGATCTTTTTCAATTAAGTGGGAATATGCATTTATATGAGGGTCCTTCAAAATTTCATGGAAAAATATAATTAAAAGATAATACAAATCTTTCCATGAATTTTTTGCAGTACCTTTATATACTGTTTTTTAAAGTATTCTCCCCTCTCCATTTTAATTTTTAATTTTTTAAACCTGAATTTTTTTTTTTAAAGTTTATTTTATTTTTGTCATGTAATTGACTCACAGAAGAAAGGTTAATCTGAATGATCAAGGGGTGTTAATTTGTGGGTTAAAATGTGTTAAACAGTTGATATGAAGTCTGTTTAAGTCAATTAGAGAGTATAATGAAGATGCTTCCAGGGTGCTATGGAACCTTCTGAAGTTAGCTTGGCATTCACTAGTGTATATTACCCATGGTACCTGGCTAAACATGTTATTGCACTCAGGTTTTTATTTGTGTATAATAGATGTGAATAGGTCTACATATTTAGGAGAGTTTTGACTTTATTAATGACTCATCTTTTATTATAGGAAATTAAATTTATAATTTAATTCATCAGCAAAATGGAAAACATAATTAGTAGCATTGTTATCTTTCTTACTTATATATATATATTTTCTAAAATAAAATGCAACTGCACTGTATAGCCAACAAAAAATTTCTGGTTTTTGTTTGTTTATATGCCTCCTTATTTTAAAACAAGATTAGTATCATTATTATAGGTTTTGTTAAATGCTAAGTACCTCATATAAAAAGGTAAAATTGATAAAGACATATAAAATTTGGTGTGGTTATTTAAAGAAATGATTTGTTTTCTCGCCTAGGATTACTTGAAGTAATATTATAAGACATTTGGTGTTGTTTAATATCTTCAAAAATTTCAGAATAATTAATGTTATTATGTAGAGTTTAATGGTATTATGCTCAGTTTTAATAATTAAATATAATTTTTGTATGGTGATAGCATTATTTGACATGAATAAAGCATTGCAACTTCGACTGTTCAAATCCACAAGAGATATGAGGGTAAAAATCATATTTTAAAATATATTCTTTGGGCCGGCCCGTGGCTCACTCGGGAGAGTGCGGTGCTGATAACACCAAGGCCCCGGGTTCGGATCCCATATAGGGATGGCCGGTTTGCTCACTGGCTGAGCGTGGTGCTGACAACACCAAGTCAAGGGTTAAGATCCCCTTACCGGTCATCTTTTAAAAAAAAAATAAATAAATAAAAAAATAAATAAATAAATAAAATATATTCTTCACTTAGCATCAGGGTTACTGTAGTACCATTTTTCATAACTTGTGTCAGTTTACTAGTAACAAACATATTTAGCATTTTAGTTTCTTCTTGCAATCTTTCAGTTTAATTATTTAGAGACTGATGAAAAACAAGTCTTGTATGCTAAAAGGATTTCTGAAATAATGGATGAAATGCCAGAAAAATGAACCCACATAGCT